CAGTTCTTTTTTTTTTTTTTTTTTTTTTTTTTTTTTTTTTTTCTGCCTCCTACTTTTTATTGCTGTATATTCCTCATGCTTTGGAGGGTGAGGGTGAGAGTGAGAGGAGCTTAAAAATAAATAAGGCTTTCAAAGCTGTCTGGGGAAAAGAAGAAAGGGGTGGGGTGTAAAACAATATTAAAACTATGCATAGCTCACCTTGAAACTAACTATATCTTTCTGTTGCATTTCTGTGGCACCCAACTTTTAAAATTCTGATATTATACTTATAGAAACATGATCCTCCCTTGAGTAGCATTCCCTGTTTGCATTACAAAAAAATGAAGGAAAATGAGGAAAGGGAACAAAACAATGACATAACCCCAAATGGAGAAGTATCGCCTATAAAGCATGTGGACAAAGCTTCAGAACTGGACTGTCAAGCAGAAGAACCAGACTCCACTGCTGCTGATTCTGGGTCTTTAGATGACAGAGACCCATCAAGTGGAGATGCAGCACAAGGAGCCTTAGGACAGGTCAAGGCCAAAGTTGAAGTGTGCAAAGATGAATCTGTAGGTAAGTGCAGAATGCAGTACTTTTGACTAGTTGATTCACTGCTTCACCTTAAGGAACTGACGTAAAATAAAGGGTAGAACTTGCTTAGCTTCAAAATGGGCAGATACATGCCCAGTTTTTTGGAAAAGCAGTCTTGATTTTCAGGTGAAAAGGAGCAGGTAAAAACTGTGGGGTATTTTTTTTTGAGGATTCTAAGTGCCAATAAGCAATTTTTTGCTGTCTGTGAAATGTGAGAATTACTGTAAACTTTTTTTTTCTTGTTTTTATGCTTTTAAGAACTGATTGAAGGAGACTTAAAGTACACAGTCAGTTTTAAAAAAATCTCTTGGCTTACCTTTTTGTAAAGCATATATTTTCCTGTCTGTATTTTTGAAGGCTCATCTACACACAGTTTAAATCAGTACAAAAACTATCACAAACCTGGTCGCTTAAACCAGGCTTAGATTGGTTAAACTAGTATAGCTTCTTTACCCACATTTCAGTCAGGCAGAGGGAATATAAGCTTATACCAGTATTGCTGTATTTATGTTTGTTGTAGTGCTTTTGACTGTTCTGTTTTGTTTTTTGAAGTATACCAGTACCTGTGAACAGTTTTGGTCCATAAACTGTATAGAACAGCCTGTCCCCCCTACCAGGCTTCCAATCAAGCTTCATGAGTCCATCACTTAATGACATGCATGGAATAGCTAGCCATGCTCTCAACATATTGGCATAGTTCAATGGCTGGTATTTGCTTTAAATTTATAACCTATCCTTATCTTCAGGTATATGTATATGTGTGTGTATATGTGTGTATATATATATATATATATATATATATAT